TACAGGGTGGGGCACGGGAACTTCCCACATTAAAAAAAACTGCTGTTGGGATATGGGCGGTTGTAGAGGAGTGGGGTAGGTCTCGTTCGGAGCGGTGAGTGATGTAGTTTTCAGTCGTTACCATGCCGTGGTCAGGTGAGCAGCGTGCGTTCATTATCGAGACTTTTTTCAAAAATGGTGAATCTGTAACTGCTACTTTGAGGGCATTCCGTACAAGGTACAGTTTGTCGTCGTCTGCTAGTGTTCCCGACCGGAAAACAATTTTGTCTTGGGTGCAAAAGTTTAGAGCAACAGGATCTGCGCTAAATTCAAAGAAGAAAGGCACAGCTGTCACCGTTAGAACCCCTGAAAACATTGCTCGAGTGAGGGCGTCGATCGAACAGAGTCCTACGCGTTCTGCGAGAAAACATGCTTCTGCTCTTCAGATTTCGGCGAGAACAGTGAGGCGGATTTTGCATACTGACCTCAATTTGCACCCCTACAAGATCATGGTTGCCCAGGAATTGTCCCCAACAGACTGGGGGCGACGTGTGGAATGTTGTGAGGCGATCCTTCAACAAGTGCCTCCCACTGCGGTTTTGTGGACTAGCGATGAAGCTCATTTTCATCTGTCAGGGTGTGTGAATAAGCAAAACTGCCGTTATTGGGCAGCTGAGAACCCTCGAGAGCTTCACCAAAGACCCCTTCACAGCCCCAAGGTCACAGTTTGGTGTGCACTGTCGTCTGTAGGCATCATTGGGCCTTATTTTTTTGAGGAGGGTGGTGTCACGATTACTGTGAACTCTGATCGGTACTGTGACATGCTTGAGAATTTTTTGAGGCCAAAAATCGAAGAATTCGGTGAGGAACATGAACGTGAGAGCTTCTGGTTCCAACAAGATGGTGCTACAGCACACACAGCCCGTCGTTCACGCGCTATTCTCCAGGAGATGTTCCCCGGGCAGGTGGTCTCCTTGCATGAGCCCATTCAGTGGCCCCCGCGCTCCCCCGATTTAAGCCCTTGTGATTTTTATCTATGGGGTTACCTCAAGGCCGAGGTTTTCAAACATCGTCCAAGGACCCTGGAAGACCTCAAAACCGCAATCGAGGGAGAAATCGCCCAGATAACCTCCACCACACTTGAGAAAGTCATGCGAAACTTCCACGAAAGGCTCAATATCTGTATTGCCCGGCAAGGCCATCATTTAGACGATATTATTTTTAAAACGTAGTTTGAAAAAACTACATGAGGTAATCTTTTTGATAAATAAATTCTTGTTTCATTATCTCGATTAGTTTTTTTTTAACAACCTTTTGAAATGTGGGAGTTTCCCGTGCCCCACCCTGTATAATTAATCAAACGGAAAGTAACAAAAAGATTACTTTACCAATTAAACGGAGCAATAGAAATTGCTGCGCAAGAAAAAGCAAAAGCTATAGATACGGTTATTCGTCGCGATTAGACTTAATGTCGAAGCAAAAATTAAGCGGTATGAATGCAAAATAAATTTACGGAAAAGCTCAAAATTACGGTATTTACAAAACGTAGCTTGAGAAAATGCAAAAGGCAGAAAGCAAAAGGATCTACTCTAAATAACTGCTTTACCTTCTATAAAATTCGGCTATGCCCTGGAGGGAACGACGGTTTTCCAACCGGGACAGCGTATTCAAAGCTACATCCAAAAATTAAAACTTATTTTATTAATTGTGCGGCCTGCTGCGGTCCTAAAAATCTGTAATTGGTCCGAAAATTCAAATTAATTAATAGCGCTTCTTTTGATAGCCCACACGATTATGTACAATGACGTTTATTGCAATACATTTATTTATCGGTAGTCCAACTAGGTCATAAAGGTTGCTTATCAATCAAATAATGGCGTTTCAAATTCATATAGGAAACAAAACCCTGCTAATAATGGCTTAACGTGGCTTAAATTCTAACATATTAATTTGCCCTCGTCTTCTAAATGACAAGAGCTTTTGGACGCAACAAAGACAATTGAAATCTTGACGGGAATGGTTACAAACGGCGAATTATTTGTAGCGTTATTTACGGTGGCGGCGACAGAAACACAACTCTATAAATTAAAACAATTACCTTTAGCTTATGTCTTCAACTCCTAGAACCAACACAAATACTTTCGGCACCACACTTTTCGTAACGAAGCGTCCAACTTAAAACGTTTCTAGATACCGAGTGTTCAGCAGAGCTGGTCGACTCCACAAATATACGGTGTGATCATAACCTTTGGGAATGAAACTTGTAAGGCGAAAAATAGGTGCTCCGTTACATGAAATCGCTACTCAAATTTTGAATAAAATCGGAAATAAAATTCGGATAAAAAAAATTAGAATACTTTGACACAGAAAAATAAAACTCTACCTGGATTTTAAATGGGATTCAAATTGACACATAATCAAAAAAACCAAGAATTTATTCTAACACACATCTAAAAACGGTCGATCTAAAAACAAATTAAGCGCGATCTCAAAAATTACAGTTCTGTTAATAATAATCCAATAAACTCGCCAGGACAAGAAATATGGGATATTCGGAGAAACACTTCAACGAGAATCTGAACGATTTTTCTTACAAACAAAAACAACTCGCTTTTAAAACACCACGACTGACTCGAAGATAATAACATTTAGCTTTGTGACTGCTCGGATAGTAAGACTTTTCTTGTATTACACCAATTATTTCTTCATTCTTGATAACCACAAACTTTTTAAACTCGAAACAACATTAAACTTGTTTCTGCATTCTTTAACTATTATGATTTCTATTTTTAAAATTGTACAGCCCGCTGGACTACGGGTACTAAAAATTTGCGCTATCTTTTAAAATAGACAGCCACGTCTACTATTAATTCTTGTTATTTAAGCAAAAACCACCTCCTTTCAACATCCTTATTCCCGACGATACTCGAAATTCCATATACGCCACCACAACTGATAACCACCTGCATCGCTTATCTCGCACGTAACATTGTTTATTGAAAAACCAATTAATTCTTGTCCAATAACAACTGTTTATCAACATCTGACCAGACAAAACTTTGAACTCACGTAAACATTTCCATTAAACGTTCCCTAAATTTGCCGCTGTAAACTTGATACAAACAAAATACAACAAATAGAATTAAATGAATTCAAAAATTAGCGACAAACTGTACAATAAGAAACAAAATTTTACCAGTCTGGGTACATTTGAAATAAATAAAAATTCCCAGGTCTTATGAAACAACTTCAATTATGTTACATACAGGATGTCCCAACTATAATTTTGGAAACAAGTTGATATATGACTCATGCACCGTTACATTTGACCATCCATACTGTGTTTTTATTCGAAAATGCTATTGATTTAGTGTTTCGTATAACAGCTTTCAATCATTCACATGTTTGGGTCAGCAGTAGTGTCAAGGGAAATTGAAAAACTGAAGCAAAGCACCTTAATACGAACTAAAATTTCAGCACAACCACATCGAAGAGCTTCCACGTTCAGCATTCGGCAAGCTTCCAGTAGTTTTCGAATTGCACCTCGCCCACAATTTATTGTCAAACATCAGCGTTAGGGCGTTTGACGGACTTCTCCAGCTGATCAACTTGAATATGTCAAACAACAAGATCGCACACATTCCAAACGGCGCACTGCAAGGTAAATCCAATGCGATTAACTTAACACTAATTGCGACTTTTAGGACTCGTATCATTGCGAACCTTAGACCTTTCCGGCAACGAGCTAGAAAAGCTCGATAATAAAACGCACGGCTTGTTGGATGACTGCTTCTCTATTGAAAGGGTAGGAGCTTGAAACAAGGGACTAAATGATGTTTTTATTCTTTCCAGGTGAATCTCAGTAATAATAAAATAACCTTTATATCCCGAAAGATGTTTCCAAGTAATCCGTACATACCTTACAACTTGAAAAACATAGATCTCTCCTACAATAACGTGCCACTCGTGACTTACGATTTTGTCTTTGGAACTTCGAAAGTGGAAACGTTAAACCTAACGCATAATTCAATCGCGGATATTAGGCGATGTAAGGGGATTTTTTCGTATTTTATTGTGTGACGTTTGTGGTAGATGTTCTAGGTAACCTCACAAGTTTAAGGACGTTGGATTTGTCCTTTAATCTCTTGGAGGATATTACGAGCGATCCCGATGTGTTCATACTTCCCAAAAGTATATCGGAAATAAATCTGTCGCACAACATGCTGAACGAGCTACCCTGGAGGGAAGTAATAAAAGTTGAAAATCTCACGACTTTGGATCTACAGCACAACAATTTCACGGTGTTTACCAAAGAAATGAATACTTTGGTCAACAACAAAACCAGAATTCTTCTTAAGGGTGAGGATTTGTTCAGTTTTCGATTTAAATTCACCTTTGGAATTTCAGGAAATGCTCTTACTTGCGATTGTTTTGCCCGACCAATGCGAAGATATTTCGATACGCTGCTCGAGGTTCCACAGTTTTACAAGGACGTTATTTGTAGTGAACCCGAGTATATAAATGGAAAGCCGCTGTTTGAAGTGTGGGACGATGGCTTGTTTTGTCCGAAGGATGTTAATCTGACGAAAAGTGAACAAAACGAGTATGAAGTTGCTGCAGATGTTAAAATACGCGATTTAAAGATGTGAGTAAAGATCGATATTGGTACAAGTATAATGGAAAATAGTTCATCAACGCTTGGTTTACTCGTCGACCCTATCCTTTTGCCTCTCAAGCCTTTAAACTCTTTCTTTGGCTTCACCACAAATACCTATCACTCAGGCAATAATACTAGACTTCTCTACCTTGGTATATAATATACTATTAGGTAGATATGATATATAGATAATGGTTAACGCGTTTATTGATCAAAGACAAATAAAGTACATGTGACTTCTTAGACGAAGGCGCAAATAGCAACAGGTACGCGTTGGTTGCCTAACGACGAAGGCTATGATTTGAAGTGACAAGAACCTCGAAAGCTTTCACGGCGATGTACAAATTTAAATCTGAAAAGATTCTGAAGCGATTATAAAAGGATTCTGAAAGGACTCTTACAGAGATTTTGAAGAGATTCTGACGAGTTTATAAAAAGATTCTGAAGAGATTTTGAAGAGACTGCAGAGATTCTGAAAAGTTTGAAGATGTTGAAGACATTTTGAAGAGACTTTGAAGAAAATCTACAGAGATTCTGAAGAGATTCATAGAAGATTCTGAAGAGATTTTGAAGAGATTCTGAAGCGATTATAAAAAGATTCTGAAAAGACTACAGAGATTTTGAAAAGATTCTGATTATAAAAAGTCTAAAGAAACCCTGCAGAGAGTCTGAAAAGATTCTGAAGAGATTATAAAAAGATTCTGAAGACTCTTCAGAGATTCTGAAGAGTTTAAAGAGATTTTGAAGATATTGAAGAGATTCTGAAGAGATTTTGAATAGATCCTGAAGAGATTATGAAACGATTCTGAGGAGACTACAGAGATTTTGAAGAGTTTGAAGAAACTTTGAAGAGATTCATAGAAGATTCTGAAGAGTTTCTGAAGCGATTATTAAAAGATTCTGAAAAGACTCTACAGAGATTTTGAAAAGATTCTGATTATAAAAAGTCTGAAGAAACTCTGCAGAGTCTGAAAAGATTCTGAAGAGATTATAAAAAGATTCTGAAGACTCTTCAGAGATTCTGAAGAGTAGAGCTTTTGAAGATATTGAAGAGATTCTGAAGAGATTTTGAATAGATCCTGAAGAGATTATGAAACAATTCTGAGGAGATTACAGAGATTTTGAAGAGTCTGAAGAGATTCTGAAGAGATGCTAAAGAAATTTTGAAGAGATTCTAAAGCAATTTCGAAGAGATTCTGAAAAGATTTTGAAGAAATTCTGAAGATATTCTGAAGACATTATACAAAAATTCTGACGAAATTCTGCCGAGATTTTGAAGAGATTCTGAATATATTCTGCAGAGATTTAGAAGAGATTTCGAAAAGATTCTGAAGAATGAAGAGATTTTGAAGAAATTCAGAAAAAGTTATAAAAAGATTCTGATGAAATTCTGCCGAGATTTTGAAGAGTTTATGAATAGATTCTGAAACGATTAAGAAGAGATTATGAAAAGATTCTGAAGAAACTCTACAGAGATTCTGAAACGGTTCTGAAGAGATTATAAAAAGATTCTGAAGAGACTCTGCAGAGATTTCGAACAGATTCTAAAGCGATTTCGAAGAGATTATAAAAAGATTTTAATGAAATTCTGCCGAGATTTTGAGAATTTTGAACAGATTACAGAGAGATTTTGAAGAGATTCTGAAGATATTTTTAAAGAGAGAGAAGATATTTTGAAGAGATGCGGAAGAAATTTTGAAGAGATTCTCAAAAGATTCTGAAGGGATTTTTGAATAGTCTGAAGAGGTTTTGAAGAGATTCTGAAGCAATTCTAAAATGATTCTGTAGAGAGTGTGCAGATTTTGAACAGAGTGGAATCACTATAAACAAGTGGTCCTCTCAAAAAATTTCAATTTTTTCGGTTTTCATGATGCACAAAAATCCATTCTTATCGTTTTTGACTTCTTCAATGACAAGACCGGACATGTCGCAATAATTCTCGGATCAGCCAATTCCTCAAACTACTGGTCACAACCTAAGGATGCCACTGATCTGAAAGAACTTACACTAATGACTCCTGTACAACAACAAACAAATTTAATTATTTTCATACACGATTGACAGTATCTGAACCTGCCTTAGTATTGCCACGTTGCAAGCTTTTATTTTTTCTGCTCATACGCATAATCTACTTCACTCACAAAAATGAACGTTTAATATGCCAATTCGGGTAATAATATATCCGATTGAATTCGATTCGTTGCAAAAAAATATTTATTGAACCTTAACATTCTAATTTCATTTGTTGTAGGATAAAAGATGACCTAACGGTATCGTGGAGCGTTATCAAGAACGAAGACATTGCAGATCCCTACGTTGTTATCAGGGGAATAAAAAACGCGAAAGATGCATTGTACGCTAAAACACTGCCATATTTTCAAAGGAAATTGGAACTAAATATATTTAAAGAAAACCTAGCGAAAATCAAGAGTTCCAGGCGCGATTACGAAATATGTGTTGTAGCGAGGAATAGTTTGGATAATGTTAGGAATTTTTTCCAAAATCAATGTCGCGGACTTGACACGACAAATGGAACTGCGAGATATGTTTCCTGGAATATTTATTTTATTTTTGTTTTGTTGCTTGTAAATTATTTATTTTAATAAATTGTTGTCTTTTACGTTGGTCTAATGTTCTTTTTTGGTACCGTCTAATTGAACACATTGTGTGGTGGAGTTATTGTTTATTTTACATTTCCTTGTTTTTAAGCGTGTCGGTTTTCAGTCAAGGTAGTCACACTAACAAGACCAACTACAGGCTCTAAACTGAAACAAACCTTTATTTAACCTAGTCTTAACTACCAAACCTCTAAAAATGCTCCTGCACCCACGTGTTCCTTTTTATTATAACGGACCGTACTTAGTTGCTTCAGGCTTCAGATCGGCGAATAAACTAGGAAAAATTTGGTGGGAGAGTGGCTGAATTAGGCGCCAATTAGTCTTCAGTAAATGTCGAGAGAGGAGGAAATACTTACCAAAAAGGGTAAACAAGGCAAACTAAGCCTTTGTTCTGGGGAGCTAAAAGGGAATAAAGCACTTGATAGGGATAGAACATAAACAATATCGCCTATAGCAATGTGAAGTTCTGACACTGAGGCTAATCGTATACTGAGAACTGCAATTAATACTTAAAATGAATAAAAGGGAGCACATGCTTATACTTGTAAAATTCAAAGTAAATACGCGTAAGTGCCCTTCACACTGAGCTCCTCGGCAGCTCTGCACTGCGTCCCCTCCCACTGCTCAGCAGTGCGACTAAGCAGCGTTGCTACGTTGCGTCGCCCAGTATGAAGGGCATTTACGAGTATTTACTTTGAATTTTGCAACTATAAGCATATGCTCTCTTTTATTCACATGGGCCATTAACTCGAATGACTAAACTACTAAAGGAAAATTTGGTTCGACTACTAATTGTCCTTAGGTGAAAGCATAAAAATGACGTTAGATTTTAAGAAAAATATTTTAAAAGGTACATACGCCTAAATTTCCATTCAATAGCAATGTAAACAAACTAGTATGAGTAAATGCTTCGAAGCAAAACAAACCGTAACTGAAAAATCGTTGGTTTTGGTCTCGGACCAAATATCGTCAACTTCAAAACGTGTTTACAAAGCAACGGTATCTAACATCTCAAATAACACAAAAGTAGCGTAAGTGAAACCGGATGTATCGGGGCAATTTACACAGTAACAATCTCCAAACGTTTCGTAAAAGTTACTTGCGATTGGGTTGCCGAAGCAAATGGGTACATCTCCATGTATAAATCTCGAAGTAGGTCAATGTTGATAGAACGAAGTAGGTCAACGAACTGAGAAAACTGAGAAAATCCAAAATTCAGCGCTTCCACTTCGAAATATCGATGTCGAAAGCACAATCCGGTAGGTAATAATGAAGCAAATCGTAAACCAAAAGTAAGAAGTAAGAAAAAAACTCGCAAAACGGCCTTAAAATTTGTAAGATAAATCCGCAAATAGCGTCAGCGAAGCTCGAAAGTAGAATAACGAGAGAAAACTTCACTCAATTTAACACAGCGTCAGTTTATCCCAAAAATGGTCGACAAAATTGTCAAGTAAGCAATTGCGTGTATCGTCTTGCAAGGAATAATTGAGAATGCGTCTTGTACAAGGAGCGCGGGTCGGAAGTTCTGTGCGGCCTCGAACGACAACAGAATGAACGATTCAAAGAAATCTATCACAAGAGAATAACGAATTATTAAACTAGTGAATTACAAGGAAATTACCTAGATGGCATAAGGATTAAATAAAAGGTCGCAATCAAATGAAAGCACCGAGTAAGGATTAATGAGCGAAATCCAAATTGATACCATCAAACGACAAAACAAATCGTCACAAATCCACAAATATCCTTCTCCTTTCATACTTCAGCGCTAGAGATGCGACTGACTGGTTGTTGTTTAGTCGCCTTCTACGACACGCAGTGCCCTCTGCCTCTACGGTAGGGTTATTCTTTCTCACCCCTACACGGTTATATTTACACAATCGAGAAACTTTAAGACCATAATGGAACGTACCGTTACAAAATATATACGAAATCTATCCTTTTATTCTCAAGACAGATCACATTAGGTACAATATACTTTACGATGGTTCACGTTATGCTAAATATAAGAAGATTAACTGTTTTTAAATTGACCGAGAGGAAGTGTCACAAAATTCTAAATGCAAATTCCATTACAAGCTTAAACAAGTTGTAACTAACTATAATCCTGTCATAATATTCTCAACTCGTTTTTTATGCACATGGTAGCGGAATTAATAACGATAATAAATGGGATTCATTGCGATCATAAATTGATTTCTAGTAACACTTTTAGTAACGTTATGAAAGAAATAAATTAACTTTTTGATTTTGTTGTTTCGTTTATATCGCGATGCAAACTAAGGAATTCAAATTTTATTAATCTGCCTCATAAAACTAGCATAAAATGAAAACGCCGTACCGTATTTTATAACTATAGCTGAAAATAATGTAGGGTAATATTCAGTTTACTATTTAGCAATAAAGTTAGATTATCATGTGCCATACTTTCCATTATGATGTTATAAAATGTAGGTAGAGGTATCCTTTGCAATGAAACAAAGAGAAATTTGATGTTTAACAGGTAATTCTTGTGAAACGTTTCATTTTAAAGTGTTCATAGCGACATTCTGTTCACTATCAACTGATCGATACCAAATTTTCTTGTATGAGATCAATAAACGTAAATAAATAAATAAATTTTCCGAATCAAACAAGATCCGAAGACTGACGAATAAAGAATAATTTACAAATTACAAAAATTAACGTTTGAAAAATGATTAAAATAAATATTCAAGCAACAGGAGAACAATGAGAGAATTTAATTACATCGTGGAGGATCAGTCTGAATGAAAAAATTCGTCCCGATGTACCTTCCCGGTGAAGAAGAGAGAAGTCTGATCCTCGAAAAACTTCTCCTAGGAATATTCGCCACCATAATTTCTACTGCAAAAATATTTAATGTTCAAAAATGCACTAAATAAACTAGTAGGTAATGTTTTCCTTTTTTTAACGTAAGAAACTATTGAGGTGACTTTATGTAAGATTAAAAATGTATTTATGGGTATTTATTAATGTTGCAAATAATATACAACGTTTTTCATTGTCTAACCGCTTTCCAGAATTATACCTTTTAATTATGATAATTTTTGTAATTTTCTGGTACTTAATTATATAACTACCTAAATTTTCTTTTCACATGTCAATTTTCAAACACCTTTCTGTCATCAGTAGTTTATTAATTTGTATTGAATTACTTTTTTTGTATCAATATCTTTCAGGGAGCATTTTTTCAGTCATATGAATTGTCGGAAAAGCGTAACTTTGTTTATGTCCTTCAGTATTATTTATTAAGAAAGGGTGGATGCGGAAGAGGTGTCTCCCAAAAGCTTTCGGGAATTGACAGTTCCTCCATACTTGCAAGAGGTAAAAAAGGTAAAAAAAGGGCCTAATGCAAGAATCGCAGGGAGAATGGGAGGAAAAAGTTTAATTCCGACGATAGAGGTATGGGTGGAGAACGAAATAAGCAAAACCAATTAGTTTATAAGCCAATTGACTGGTTACGGATGTATGAATGAGTACCTAGGCAGATTTAAACAACAGAGAAAGCCGTTTGTACAGCAACTGTAACTTCAAGGATGACGCGGAGCACTCCTTTTTTGTGTGCGGGAGATGGACAAAAGAGAGGGAAGAGTTATACAGCCATGTGGGACGAGTAACACCGGACAATATAATAACAAGTACAAATTGTGCACACCCCTTGTGCAGGTAAAGCGCATTTTTTTAAACACCCCTACGAAATTTCTTCCATAAATAAGAAAGTTGGCACTGCGCATGCGCAAAACCAAATTTGGAAACTGGTGTTAAATTTTCTTTTATTCCAACTGGCTATGTATCAAATTTTATTAAAATACCTCCATAAATAAGAAATTTGGCACTGCGCATGAGCAAAACCAAATTTGGAAAATGGCGGTACATGTGGTTTTATTCCAAGTGGCTATGTATCAAAATTTATTTAAATGCTCAATGGTTATATTCCTTCAAAACGTCGATCGAGGAGGAAGGCAGTAGTTTGTAGAACTCTTCCTTTCGTTGAGACCTTTAATTAGAATACGATGAGAGATAATATTAATTTTTACCCCCCCCCCTCCCCTCAGGCCCAGTCGCACGGGAACAAACCAATTTATTTCGATGAGACCTTTCATTAGAATACCATGAAGGGTAGAACATGTGTTTAGCCCCCCCCCCCCCATTTTATTAAAGTTTAACTTGCCACCACTAAAGGCGTGCGTATGCAAAATCTCAGACCAATTGGTTGTCGTATGTAAAAGTTATGCATGTTTTACTTTCAAAAACAGCATCTCAGGAATTAATTCGTGGGGGGGGGGGGGGCTTTTGACAGCGAAACTTGATGGCCGCCTGGCACACCTTCAAAGTATAGGCTACCTACTACAAAAAAATACAGGACTCTAGGACCATTCCCCTAGAAGTAGTTCAAAACGGTAGAAGTGGGTCCGGACTGACAAAACGCAAACAATAGCACATTTTTTTAATTCTAAAAAAATGCGGTAAAAGTAGAGCGTTAAAAACAAAAGCAAGGAATAAACCTGGAGTGGGTGGGGGGGGGGGCATTCAGCCAGGAAGCGGAGTCCTGGGGTCAACCTTGTGGAACGTGGCCTACGATGGGGTCCTTCGGCTAGAAGTGCCGACGGAGTAACGATAATTGGATTCGTCTACGACATCACCATCGTCGTGGTGGACAAGGCAATGGAAACGGCTATACATAAACTCCAAGCAACAATGGAGAAGATAAGCCTTTGGTTTGGACGGAAGGGAGGAACCTCCAGATAGTACCCAAAAAACGAAGGCGGCCCTCCTAATGGTGCGAAGAAGGTTGGGGGAGGTCACCTTCGACATACTTGGGAAGGTAGTCGAGGCAGAAAAGTCTGGGAGTGATCCTGGACAAAAATGGAACGTTCTTAGACCACGTGAGATAAGCGGCGGCGAAGGCCCCCAAAAGCAACACCTTTGGAGATAATTATGCCAAGTAGGGAACGCGCGAGAACAAGTAAGGAAGAGGCGC